GGGCTGTTCACAAAAAAAAGCTGCCCATTTTCTCTTACAACAGGGAGTAAGTGCTGATTATTCAATTCTTGGTTTCCAACCCCCAGTCTGTGACAGAAGGGGGAACAAGGGTGATTTCCACCCTCTGCCTGCAGGGATCCAAGCCCACTTCTCCCACAGGAGGAAGAGCTTCGGGCTGTGGGTTCTTTACCAGTTACATATGACAACGCAGCTTTGCCCCATGCCATCTCATCTGCGGATCTGGCTTTAGCTCATACTGCAGCAAAACACTTCAGCAGATGTTTAGCTCCCAATAGCTGCGTAAAGTAACATTGGCATCAGTGTGACTCTGCAGAGAGATGTTAACACTACTGTCCCTGTGTGAACACTCTTCCACACTCTGATCCTTCCCTATTACAACGTACGTCTTGTATTTGCCAGTTTTCTCGATTTTCAAAACTATGCAGAGATTCTGAGCAAATCTATCAGCTATATAGTAACAATTCAAACATCTTGATTTCTCATTCTCTCCACACAAGAGCTTTTAAGCTTAAGCAGGAGCTATTTTCATATTAGAAAACATTAACACAAGTAACTGCACTGGAAGTAGATTCCAAAATATGCACATCTCTAAATTTGAAAAGAAAAAGACAAAGACTGCACTAATAAAAAAAACCCCAAAAAACCCCAAACAACATTCAGGACAATAAATTAAACCTTTCCATAGCTATTCCAAATTAATTTACAGTTCAACTTACAGTTGAACCAGTTATCCAGTTATGGATACTTTAAAAAAAACCTCACTGGCTTCAGTCTCAGACCTTCAATCAGCCTGCTGACTGTGCAAAATGAATGCCAGTTATGATGACGGCAATGACAGAGACTTGATGGCAAACTAGACTCTGGCAAATAATTAATTTCTCTGTAATTGCTCTGGACATTATTTCCTGTCCTATCTGCGCAGAGCAACACGTTATTACCTCCTTTCTACCGCACAGCAAAAGTCACCCTCCTCTCCCCTCCCCTTACAGTTATTGTATACATTCTCAGCTGAACAAAACCACCCTCAAGATGTACTTAACATGCATAGCATGCAAATTTGAAAGCATCATTAGTTGGTCAAGTCAAAACCAAATTTCACTTAGTGGCATTTTGTACATTCATGCAGTTCAAAGCTCGTTCAGAAGACACACATTTTTTGGTGTTATTAAAAGGAAATGCCCTCCTTTTTTTTTTCTCCCTCTGGCAGAATTAAGTTTCGAATTGAGCTGCAGAATATACTCCACTACAGTTTCCTTTTAGAGATGGTCACAGCAATAATTCTCTTTATATTGTCACACTGTGGCAAAACCTACCTGTGATTTTTAGAATATAGTGTTTTCCCTAAACTGCTTATAAATTATCAGTTGTTGCAGGACTCTTGCTTAATTTCCTTTTAACAAATACAAGGAAAATTTTTCACCTTGAGCAGCAACTGTTTAAACTTGTAGATACAGAAGGCACTTGTCACTTGTTCTCCATGGAGCCCAGATGGTCAGGGAAAAAGGAGTGGAAGAAAGAGGGTTGTTAGTTGTTTTTGGTGGTTCATTTTTGTTTGTGTTTCCCCTGTCCCCCATCCCCTGCCTTTCACACTCCACCCCCCAAAACCAAATAAACCCTCTGGCGCCATCTTCTCAGCTAGCAAGATGATTCAGAAAAAGATTAGTCACTTATTGCTAGAATACATCAGCAGAAGAGGTAGTCACAGAAACATCAAGAGACATGCTTTCCTTCAGAAAACATGACAATATCCAAGTCTGGCTGAGCTAAGCTTATTAAGTGTCTACACTGGAATCAAATTCAGGAAAAGACCAGAAAAACTGATATACGTATTTCCTGTTCCGAAGTCGCCATATAGAAACTTCTGTATAGCACAAAAAAAAAAAAATTCCCTTCATTAAATTTCCTTCCAAGAACACTTTATGAAAGGCTATTACCACTCTTCACTCAGCTTTACTTCATAGCAAATGGGCATCCTTTAAAGGGAGGGGAAGGCACACAGAATTTTGGCTTCATAAGCCACACTTTCTTCCATTGTTATGCCTTGGGCAACTCACACAGCAGATGTAGTTATTACCAGTTACAGAGGAACAGGTAGATAGGTAAGCACCATGCACAGGTGCCTATACATTATGAAGAGTTATATAAATCTTCACCAGTTTAGCATTTTAAAAAGCCTACACAAGCTAACTCATATTTTTGGGTGTCAAATACTCCAGACTTCAAGGTACACAGCTGACAGTTGGCATCCTTGGAACAAAGAAACAGTGAATTAAAAACCACAGCCATTACTCTGTGGCCCTTCCTCTTTTAAAAAGTGTGACGAAGGCACTTTTCCAGGCTGTAAAAGACCACGGTTCAGATCTCAAGGCAACACCCATGTCACGTGCTGTAGGATATTTTGCTAAGTGTCATTCTGTCTGTTACTAACGTTGGTAGAATTTTGCACTAGATGTTCCAAAAAATATTCAAGCAGAACTGTGTCAGGAGACATTGAGGAGAATGCACTTAAAAAATACCTGGCACCACTAAGGCATGGTCCCAAAGCAGTAATTCAACTCCTGCTCTGGTTTTGAGCCAACTTCCCTCCTTCCAGGTGGACATCCTTAGAGGGTTCTTGATGGAACAGAAAGCATAACTTCTTACTCTGGTATACCTGTTAAGGAAATTAAGTAAAAAACAATCACAAATGTTGTTTTCAGGAAAACACAGTCATGTCAAAAACCTGCCCAATTTTTGTCAAGGTCCCGTGTCACACAGGTGAACTGGGACAAGAGGTACTCAAAACTCTTGTTACTTCTGAAAATACAGAACATGAGACATGTTTTTGAACAGATGAAACTGACTGACAGAGCCGTACAGACAAGAACATGTTAATGTCACAGAAAAAGTATCATGATTAGAAGAAAATATTTTGACAGCTTTTTCCTACAGATTTTCCTTTTTTGAGCGTGGTGCAGAAAGGTAAAAAACTGTTAAGTGGGTGGGGGGGGCGTTTAAGTGTTAAGAGGAAGAGTCCCATCCTATGCTTTTATTATTTTAAAATAAAATTGGAAATAGTTATGTACAACCTAGTTAATTGTAGCCTGTTGTCTTGAAACAATATAAGGATTTATAGCAATTTTTTTCAGTCCCACTTTCCAAGCTCAATTAAAAGTTACACAGTATACAAAATGAGTATTAATAGTGCATTAGACGAGAAGAAAACAAAATCTAGTATGCTGGTCAAAAATTTATAGACTGCTCAGTTGCTGAGACGCCCAAAATTGATTCAGTTTTAACTCAGTGATACAGTGTCTACGTTCACTTCTACTGCATCTACTCCCTTATGGATCTGGTTTAAAATTTTGATATTCAACTAAGCTGCTTTTAAGGAAAAGGAACAAAAGCATGCGAAGCTGAAGTTTCCAACTTCAGAAGAGGTGATACAGCAACCCTGTCTATACATTGCCCTGCTCGCGATCTCCAGAAAAGCAAAGGCATAATTCAGTTTAGTGTATGTAAAGAAACTTTAAAAAAAAATCTTTTTCCTCCTTTTTAACCAAGGCTACGGAAAGAGTACAAATTTCTGTAAACACAAGTGGAATTATTCCTTGTAACACAGTGTCAGGTGGAAGATAGCACTCACCTGTAAAGCTGTTCAAGAAACTTCTGAAGCAGGTAATTTTCCAGGAAAATATTAACCATCCCTTAATCCAGTCACCAGTCTTGTTCAGCACACTTTGAGAATGGTGTTCTAACTTTAGGGAGATAGTAACTTTCAACAACAGATGCACATGGAAACATTCATTCCGTTTATTGTGGAAACACCGAAGACACAATATAGCTTTAACATACTCCCACCCAGCAGCTCCTAGTTTAATCTGAACTTCAGTGTTTATTGTGGAAACACTGCAGACACAAACACGGATCTAAACACAGTTCCACCATAAGAGAACATGACGCTTCAAGGAAGGTCAAAACAAAATGGCTCTTAAAGCTAAACGAAGAGGCAGATGCCATTTCCCAGAAATGAAGGAAGGTAGGCTCCACTGGAGCAGCCTCAGCACCGGGCTTTTCTTTTGGATTGGTGGTAAATGAAAAACCCAGAGCCCAGCGATTTTTCTTTTTTAGCTAATTGCTCCAATCCAGGAATCTTTGGCACAGGAATTTTCCTTTGCTTTGTGACTACAAGACAATTCAGCCATTCGTTCTTAACACTGTTTTCACAGACCTCAGTCAATCCTCCCGTGTGGCATTTCATTGCATCTCATGAAGAGGATGCTCTTGAGTGTCAAATTCTGTGTTGATAGGGGATGAACTGCATCAGGTCATTGCACTGGTTCTTTTTTACTCTACTTTTATCTGACTAGCAAACAAGGCTATTAGCGAAGAGAACTGATTTTCCTCATTCGAAAACTGTTTTTCCCCATTATCCCCTCCACTGGCCGTATTTTACTGCATTTACACCGACAAGCCAACAAACATCTCTATATGCAAGAGGAAAGCATTCACTCCACTGATTTAAAGAGAGAAAAAAAATGGAACTGCAACCTGAAAGTTATTTTAAGGTAAGCATGCAGGTATTCTATTTCTAGTTCACTCTTGCACACTGCCTAAATTTAAACCACAGGGTTGCACTGCTGCTGCTTTGCACAGATGAATAAAAACAAGGTCTATTTTAAAAACCTGCACCACGGAGGACAGTAACACATGGCTTATTCTGTCAGTCACAATGGTAGGTTTCACTTCCTCATTGCTCTGTATCACTGTGAAGCTGTATTCATGAAACAGGGAAAGTTTATGTATTGAAAACTTGTGCGTAAAATAGAATAAAATAATGTGTGCACTTCTTCGACATCAATTAAAACACTGACAAAATAAAACCATTATAAAAGATTGTAGAAAACTAGAGGTCTTCTAGACTTTCAAACAGCAAAAAAACTATTAATCTCATCACGGAAATTAGAGCACTTTTCCGGATACAACTCTTTGTGTGCCATTCCTCCTTACAGTGCTACGTAATCACTTTGCTTTTTCCTCTAATTTCAGTATCAACCAATATCTGCCTACACATTGATTCAGAAAATATTAATTAAAAACTGGAAAGAATTGGAGCCTAGTACACCAATTTAAAATGTTGTCTCTGATCATATATTTGATATCAAGTCTTAGCACGAAACTGTTATATTTAATCCAAGTAGTTTCTTGCTAGGAAACAGCACGCATATGCTGTCAGATGATTTTCAGTACAAAAGATAAAATAGTTTAACTGAAAAGCTCTGAAGACTCCTAGGCATCAGTAGGGAAGGCACTTTTCTGGTCACATAATTCTAGCACGTTGGGATTCAGCACAGCTTTGGTATTTCAACATCTCCTTCAGTTTCTATGCAAGTGATATCCACTGACTGCCCAGTTCTGAACTTCTCCACTTGCAAATAATGCAAAGAAAATTGCTCCGAATAGATTAATAGAAGCAGCAATATAGAAAACAGTCTGCCATTCTCCCACAGTATTCTGTGAAAAGGAGAAAAAAAAAAAATGTAATCAATTTGCAGCTCCACACTCACGAAAAAGTAATTTAACACCGACGCTACGTGTCTTACCT